TTAGAAATTGAAGCTCACACTCTGATGAAAGAATGTTGGTAGATTACACTCAACATTCTTAGAAATAAAGAGCAAGATGATTCTTTTTGCAACAGATTTGTCTACAGTCTAGTCCACAGTAACTGAAGCCCACAAAACAGGTCTCTGAGAAAAGACATGAGGGTTGCTTTTGCAACCTTTAGAAGGACAATAGAGTTAAAAGACAATCTGTTTCCCTTAATTGTGTCTACTTGGTTTACCTAATTAAAGGGAAAAGGCTTTGTTAAAAGAGACATACCTTGGTTAGATTTTACCTTTTGATTAACATCTAGGTTAATAAAGTGTGTCCTTTGGATTTATAGGATTAATGAGGTTATCCGCTTCATAAAAAGAAAGTTCACCATCAAAACGGTGCTTTTCCTAAGGAGGAAAGAAGCTCTGCACCCTCAGTGTAGTGGCAGCATCCTCAATAAAGACATGGCTTCGTTGGCTCTCCATCTGTTTGGGTTTTGGTGAATAATGCAGAGAATTTTCACCAGGAGAGACAGACATCCTGTATTTTGTAAATGAATTTTTAATAGGAAAGTAATTGTTTAATCTGATTGTAGGTATCCGGGGACAGGCTCTCTGAGGACGTTAGGTGATTCTGAACATGGAATTTCTCTGGAATTAAATAAAATGCATAATTCATGGTCAAAGGGAATTTGTCTCAGCACTTAGAGGTCGATTTTTCTGTGTGAATGACCAGTGTTGGAGACAGACTATAAATAAATAAGCAAGTCAATGTTTGGGTTTCTTACTGGATACATTAATCAAGATTGGAGATTACAGTAGTGATTTTTTTTTTTTTTGGACGAGAGAGAATGTTCTGCGATACATTTCATTATAGGTGTTTTGATGGATTAAACTATGTCCCCCAAAAGTGTGCGTTGAAATCATAATCCCTATACCTATGGGTGTAATTCTATTTATTAATAGTGTTTTTTATGTTACTGAGGCCATGTCAGCGTAGGGTATGCCCTAAACTTAGTGACTTTTGAGACAAAAAAGAGCGTGTTAGACTCAGCAAGCAAGTGCAAATGGGGGAAAGATAGTTTCCACGTAGAGGCCTTTGAGGAACCGAGGAACAGAAACTTAGAGACAAGGATTTTCCCCCAGAGCTGACAGAGAGAGCCTTCCCATAGAGCCAGCGCTCTAAATTCAGACTTCCAGCCTCCTAATTGGTGATAAAATAAATTTCTTTTCTTTAAAACCACCCACTTTTAATATTTCGTTTGCAGCAACTCTACCTAAGACAATTACATGTAAGTTTGCGAGTAGAAATTATAGCTCAGAAATGCAATCCTAACATGAGTTTTATCGCTTGCAGTTTAGAGAGAGTAGTGGAAGAATTTGAAGCTATCAAATAAATGTGTGAGAGTACCAGGGCAGTGTATAGAAAGAGAGAAGAGGGGCTGGGAGTGAACTTTGAAGCATGTCAACCGTTTTGTTTTAAAGAATTCTTTGCAGAGGACATGGAGCAAGAGTGACTAGTTTGGAGACAGGAGAATGAGCTATCAGAAAATGCTAGGGAAATGTTATTTCTCAAAAGGTCATGACTCAATTCTCTTTCCAAGTGAAAGCCTCTTTAAAGTGTTGAAAAGCAAAGATGTCACCTTGAAGACTAAGGTGCTCCTGACCCAAACCATGGTATTTTCAGTCGCATCATATGCATGCGAAAGCTGGACAATAAATAAGGAAGACCGAAGAAGAATTGACGGTTTCGAATTGTGTTGGTGAAGAATATTGAATATACCATGGAACTACCAAAAGAACGAACATCTGTCTTGGAAGAAATACAAGCAGAATGCTCCTTAAAAGCAAGGATGGCAAGACTATGTTCTTACTTTTGGACATATTGTCAGGAGGGATCAGTCCCTGGAGAAGGACATCATGCTTGGTAAAGTAGAGGGTCAGCGAAAAAGAACAAGACCCTCACTGAGCTGGATTGACACAGTGGCTGCAACAGTGGGCTCAGGCATAACAATTTTGGGCATGGCGCAGGACTGGGCAGTGTTTCGTTCTGTAGTACATAGGGTCGCTGTGAGTGAGAACTGACTTGATGACACCTAACAACAACAAGTTAAAGCCTGAGATAGAGTGATTTACTTATGGAGACATCATTGGCAATGTTAACAAGATATATTTATAAGGAAATCATTGGTCTTTGTAAGTCAGAGTGTGAAGGGGTGGAGACATGGTAACTGCACTTCCCATTTGATTGTGAACGAAGGACAGGAGAGCAGGAGGTGTTTGTTTCAAGATGAAAGAGACATAATGAGTTTCAATGTTGAAAAGGTAGACTGTGAAGAGAGAGGTTACTGATAAAGGAGGTTTAATACCTAATCACTAATAATTTCCTGACAAAACAAGAGAAAGGGGCTCAGTTGTATACATTGGACTGAAGGGGAGGGGTAGAGATGACTCTTCAATTTAATAATAGAAGTTGAGTAACCAATGGTGTAAATGCAGTAATATTTCTAGATACTATGTATTTATTAAGATAATTTGTGAAATTATGTCATTGTCATGGTTTGAATTACGTCCCCCCAAAAATGTGTATATCAATTTGGCTGGGCCATGATTCCTGGTACTGTGTGATTTTCCTATATGTTGTAAATTCTGCCTCTGTGATGTTAATGAGGGAGGATGGGTGGCAGTTGTGTTAGTAAGGCAGGACTGGATCTACAAGACTGGATTGTGTCTTGAGGCAATCTCTTGAGATATAAAAGACAGAAGTGAGCAGTGAGACGGGAACCTCATACATCAAGAAAGCAGTGCCAGGAGCAGAGCGCGTCCTTTGGACCGAGGTCCCTGCGCCGAGAAGCTCCTAGTCCGGGGGAACACTGATGAGAAGGCCGAGAGAGAGAAAGCCTTCCCGTGGAGCTGACACCCTGAATTTGGACTTTTAGCCTACTTTACTGTAAGGAAATAAACTTCTCTTTGTTAAAACCATGCACTTGTGGTATTTCTGTTATAGCAGCACTAAATAACTAAGATAGTCATCCATCTGCTTAGTAGGAGGTAACCCCGTCTATTGAAGGCAAGGAAAAAGGTGGACTGAGATTCGAAAGGCATGGTGAAGATTTGAAATATTTATGGAGCATGGAAGGTGATTTAATTAACAAGACATAGTACGATTATTAGTTATATTTGAAGGACACTAGGAGTGGTGACTCTGTGTTTAGACTAGGAACAATTTCCTGCTCATGATCTGTGTCAAATGTAGTCATGGAAGAGGAAGGTACTTGGTGTCACTCTATTGGTCTCTTGATCAGCAGGTGTCATAAATAGAAACAGGAACATAAGAAATATTGATCTGGGTAAGTATGCTCACATGAGTAATATGGATTAAATTGGGCAATAAAAACGGAGATGGAGACCGATATTTGGGAAGTGTAGTCAGTGCTCTGGAGACTGCCATGGGGCTGGAGAGACTGGGCACTGGGTGTAATTTTGTGAAAAAGAGTTGGTTGTCTTAACAGGCTGTGGCGTCAGACTATTAATGTGAGATGTGATCTTCCAGTGAAAACCTACGTGTAGTGTGTAAATGTAAAGTTTGGGCTTGGGAGGCAGGCAGACCAAATTCAAATTCTAGCTGTATCATTTTCTAGCCATGTAATTTTGTCGTATTACCAAAGTTTTCTTCACCTCTGTTAAATTGAAAGAACTTTTTAAATTGGTAAATCGTAATCAACAGGTTATTGTGAGAAGTAAATAAGCAAATCTGTGTAAATCTCCAGCCCCAGAGTCACAGTTAAAAAAAAAAAACAAAAAAAAAAACTTTTTTCTGGGCCTGACATACAAACGGATGAGCTAATCCTATTTCTTTTTATGACACACTTTCATCACTTGTCTATGAAATACATTTAATAGTTATTGATGTTTTAAGGGACAGTTTACATTTTATAAATAACACACACACATGTATTTGTACTTATATAATGAAATGCAGTGATTAATATAGGAGAGGACTTCCAGTACTACTTTATTAAAATATCAGCTGGAGAAACCTGATTTTACCTAACTCTTTCATTTCATGTTTTCTGAGCCTTATTACCCTATTGGAGCCCTGGTGGTGCCATGGTTAAGAGCTATTGCCCTATAGGGATTGTGGGACATGACAGTAATATTATGACCCATGCTACTTCATGATGCAGGAGATTTTAAGAGCTAGATATGCAGGATAAATGGCCATTGCTCCCTTCAAATGGAGTACATCATTGAGTTGATCAACCCCATCATAAAATAGATCCTTAAGTTATTTGGTTTATATCCATATCCACTGGGGACAGATCTTAAAAGTCAGGGTTAAGGAAGTGATCTAGAAACCCCATGTGGCGAAGCCAAAATGATTCAAGGCAAGTATATCCAAAGAGGCAGGGACAGAAAAGGGAGTTGGTGTGAAGCTACAGCTGAGCTGGATGTTGAAGAACTACTGCTAGTGCGTACACAGGGAAGTATTAAATCTGAGAAATACCAGTGTTTATCTGGAGATGGAAACCAAAATCCACATCTGGTGTAAGCCATGGATTCGTATATTTTGGAATAAGGGAGCAAATTGAAAACTTAACACCATGGGACAATTTACAAAACGCAATGAGTTTCATGTTCTTATGTATAAGAGATCTGTATTAGCATCTTCTTTATTAGCCACGATGACCGTAGCCTTCTTGCTTTTGACCCTGGGAGAGGAGCGTCCTCCCCTTATTTCTTTTAAAGCACACTACATGTTTCTGTTTTTTGGACTTGGATTACTCCCAGGTGAAGGTCTGTGGCTTCATAAAAGGTGAGTCTGGGAGTTGTGGGTAAGACTGGAGTCTCAAGACTTCATTCTCCATCCTCAGCTTTGCCTGCTTTAGTGCTTGGACTGTGAGTGAAAACCCAGAGGAAGACAGGTGGTGGCTGAGCTATTGACAATGCAGCCACTGGTGAGTAGGGAATTCCTCTTTCTACTGAAATTGTACCTTTGTTTTCAGCAGATGGGCCAATTTCTCCTCTTGGCTTGACTCTTCTAAATGCACTCATGAGCTCTTCAAGGGTCTTGGCTCCAGTAAGTCTCAGTGGCCCCTGGCTTGTGCTTCTTAACCGTCTGTTCTTACACATTATAATGATCACCTGAGTTGTGTAGAGTTGAGAGAGGAAGCACTTATTTATCCCGTGTTCTCTGTGAAGCTTGTGCCGTTCTGCTTCAAGATTGTCATTTTAATGAATGATAGACCTAGGACTTGTATTCAACAAGTGTATGCTAGACAGGAAGCATTTTACACACTAGCACATAGGATCTTTAAAAACTTGTAGTAGGTTGTTAAACCATTTCATAGATGAGGAAACTGAAGTCCTTTAAGGGAATAATCTAACGACAGACATGTTATAAATTCCTAAGTACAAATTCTATAAGTAATCTCCAGTCTGGATGTTATAATTACTAATTTATTGGGAAATTTTCAGGCTATAGCTCACATATGATATTCTTTGTACTGGGGTTTTATGGATTCAGAGTATTTATGTCTCTGTTAGTATATCTGAAAGGCAGGTGGCAGGCCAGCACTGAGAATAATCTGACTAGAATCCCAAACTTTTTGAACTTTCTATACACACAACTCCTTCTTCAGTGCTGTCATCTTGACCACCCTACTGTGGTCACTGGAAGGGATGGTCCTGTATGACCCTGAATGTCTGTGATTTTCAGGAGTCAGTGACCTTCAAAGATGTAGCTTTGGACTTCACCCAGGAAGAGTGGTCCCTGCTGGACACAACCCAGAGAAATCTGTTCAGAGATGTGATGAAGGAAAACATCAATCACCTGGTTTTCATAGGTATGTCAGAAATTATCTATTTGTATATTCAACAAGTATCTAGAACAGCTTTCCCATATCTCTCTCCAATTTCTGCCCTGATTCTTTCGTAGCACTTGCAACTACTTGAAAAACATTTGTTTCTTTTCTTTTTACTTACATCTTGTTTGCCACCCCATAAAATGTAATCTTACCACAATTGCATGTGATTCTTGCTACTCAAATTTCAACACTCAGAAAAGTACTGGCAACTCAATGATTATGTTTTAAATGGATTACGTATTTTCTGAATAATTATCAGCCCTAGGGACTATGCTCAGGCTACAGACTACAATAGTAAAAATAACATATTCTATTCCATGTAGAACCATGATTGTTCTGGTGGAATTTATGTTTATTGGATTTGTTTTTAATATTATAATTAGTCCAAAAACATAATTCCTCGTTTGAAAAGACTCAGAATTTTGCAGTCTGTCTTTGAGCTTAGGCATGGGCATCAAAAACCAGAAGTCCTTAATCTGTTGGACAGAAGGTCTAGAATTATCCCTTTTCTGGGGAAAGATATCAATGGTCCATGTTCTAGGTACTCTTCTCTGAGCTAACCTTCAATGGTTACCTTATTCTTCCTGAATATATACTTCGTGGATTTGTTGGTCATACACTTTTATCAATATAGGCCTCAAAATCCATGTGTCCTTTCCCTACAAACAGGGAATCATCTTTGCAAATCAGATGTGATTTCCCAGCTGGAGCAAGGAGAGGAACTGTGGAGGGAAGGAGTAGGATTTCTCCAAGATGAAAGCCTAGGTAAGCTCCAGGCACCTGTATTTCATCATGAGAAGGAAAATGTTCAGTGAGCGAGTGAAAAAAACCCATTGCTGTCAAGTCGATTCTGACTCATAGCAACTCTACAGGACAGAGTAGAGCTGCCACATAGGGTTTCCAAGGCTATAATATTTATGGAAGCAGAGTGCCACTTCTTTCTCCTGCAGAGTGGCTGGTGGGTTTGAACCACCAACATTGTAGTTAGCAGCCAGGCGCTTAACCACTGTTCCACCAGGGCTACTTCAGTGAGTAGGTGCTTGGAAATGTCCATTAGAGATTTATTTAAGTGTGTAATATTTTATAAAAAAATGTAGGTGAGGACTTTGAGGCAGTATTTCTGATGTCATTATTCCTTGCACTAATAATCGTGTTCTTATTTTTGACTGTGTATGAAGAAATACTCATGTACTTACTGGAATTAAAATTTCACATATTGGCTCTTTTTCTGATCCTCTTTGAAGATTACCCTTTGTATGCCTCCCATGTTCATTTTATTTTTGTCATATTGCTATCCCAGAGTCTTTGTTCATTGTCCATGTCCTATAACCTATTTCTACTGACATTCTTTTCCCATCTAGGTGTCAATATTTGAAATATACTCACATCAGCATTGAGGCTTTTTTTCCTTAGTTTTTTATTTTTTTGGGGAGGGGTTTAGGTGAAAGTTTACAGCTCAAGTTAATTTCTCATACAAAAATTTATGCACATATGTGACCCTAGTTACAATCCCTGTAATGTGACAGCACACTGTCCCTTTCCACCTCGAGTTTCCTGTGTCCATCCAACCAGCTCTTTTCCCTTCCTGCCTTCTCATCCTGCCTCTGGACAGGAGCCACCCATTTGGTTTCATGTATCGCTTGAACTGAGAAGCACACTCTTCACAAGTATTATTTTATGTTTTATAGTCCAGTCTAGTTTTTATCTGAAGAGTGGGCTTCGGGAATGGTTTTAGTTGTGGGTTAACAGAGAGTCCGGGGGCCATGGTTTCTGGGGTTCCCTAGTCTCAATCAGACCATTAAATCTGGTCTTTTTACGTGAATTTGAGTTCTCCTCCACCCTTTTCTTCCTGTCCATCCAGGACTCTCTGTTGTGTTCCGTGTCAAGGTGGTCATTGGTGGTAGCTGGGTGCCATCTAGTTCATCTGATCTCAGGCTGATAGAGTCTCTGGTGTATTTGACCATTTTGTCTCTTGGGCCAATATTTTCCTTGTATCTTTGCTGTTCTTCATTCTCCTTTGCTCCAAGTAGGTTGAGATTAATTGATGCATCTTAGGTGGCCGCTTGCAAGCTTTTAAGACTCCAGATGCCACTCACCAAATTGAGATGCAGAACATTTTCTTAATAACTTTGTTATGCCAGTTGACCTAGATGTACCCTGAAATCATGGTCCCCAGACCCCAGCCCCAGCTATTCTGTCCATCAAAATGGTTGTGTTCAGGAAACTTAGCTTTTGGTTTAGTCCACTTGTGCAGACTTCCCCTATATTGTGTGTTGTCCTTTTCTTTAGCTAAGAAGATTCTTGTTTACTATCTAGTGAATTCCCTTCTCCCCACCCATCAAAGAATGTTTACTTCTGTGTTTAAACTTTTTTGAGTTCTTATGATAGTGGTCTATACAATATTTGTCCTTTTGTGACTGACTAAATTCACTCAACCTAATGCCTTCCAGATTCATCCATGTTGTGAGGTGTTTCACGGATTCATCAGTTTTTTATCATTGTGTGGTATTCGATTGTGTGTATGTACCATAATTTGTTTATCCGTTAGTCTGTTGATAGGCACCTAGGTTGTTTCCATCTTTTTGCTGTTGTGAATAGTGCTGCAGTGAACGTGGGTGTGCATATATCTATTCATGTGACAGCTCTTATTTCTCTAGGATATATACCAAGGCATGGAATTGCTGGATCATATGGTGCTTCTATTTCTAGCGTTTTAAGGAAGGGACAAATCGATTTCCAAAGTGGTTGTACCATTTTACATTCCCACCTGCAGTGCATAAGCATTCCAATCTCTCCACAACCTCTCCAACATTTATTATGTTGTGTTTTTTGGATTAGTGCCAGCCTTGTTGGTGTGAGATGCTATCTCATTGTAATTTTGATTTGCATTTCTCTAATGGCTAATGATCATGAGCATTTCCTCATGTATCTGTTAGATGACTGAATGCCCTGTTTGGTGACATGTCTATTCATATCCTTTGCCTATTTTTTAATTGGGTTATTTCTTTTTTTGTTGTTGAGGCCTTGCAGTATGTTGTAGATTTTAGAGATAAGACCCTTATCGGATATGTCGTAGACAAAAATTTTTTCCCAGTCTGTAAGTTGTCTTTTTACCCTTTTGGTGAAGTCTTTTGGTTAGCATAAGTGCTTGATTTTTAGGAGCTCCCAGTTATCTAATTTCTGTTGTGGTGTTTGTGCATTGTTACTTATGATTTGTATTCTGTTTATGCCATGTATTAGGGCTTCTAGAGGTGTCCCTATTTTTTCTTTCATTATCTTTATCATTTTAGAATTTATATTTAGGAATTCGATCCATTTGGAGTTAGTTTTTGTACATGATGTGAGGTATGAGTCTTGTTTCATTTTTTTGCAGATGGATATCCAGTTATGCCAGCACCACTGTCTCTTCCCCAGTTAATGGACTTTAGGCCTTTACCTGCTCATAGGTGGATGAATTTATGTCTGGATTCTCAATTCTGTTCCTTTAGTCTGTGTGTCTGTTGTTGCACCAGTACCAGGTTGTTTTGACTACTGTGGCGGTATAATAGGTTCTAAAATCAGGTAGTGTGAGGCCTCCCACTTTTTTCTTTTTCTTGAATAATGCTTTACTTATCTGGGACCTCCTCCCTTTCCATATGAAGTTGGTGATTTGTTTCTCAGTGTCATTAAAAAATGTTGGAATTTGGATCAGGATTGCATTATATCTGTAGAATTGACGTTTCCACAATGTCATTTGTGGGTAGAATTGCTTTGGGTAGAAGCTTTGGGTAGAATTGACATTTTCACAATGTTGAGTTTTCCTATCCACGAGCGTGGTATGTTTTTCCACTTATGTGGGTCTCTTGCTGTTTTGCAGTAGTGCTTTGTAGTTTTCTTTGTATAGTTCTCTTATATGTCTTGTTAGATTTATCGTATTTTATCTTCTTGAGGGCTATTGTCAATGGTATTGATTTGGTGATTTCCTATTCAAAGTTTTCTTTGTTGGTGTTAAGGAATCCAACCGATTTTTGTATGTTTATCTTGTATCCTGAAACTTTGCTGAAATCTCCTATTAGTTCCAGTAGTTCTCTTATGGATTCTTTGGGGTTTTCTGTGTATAGGATCCTATCATCTGCAAATAGGGATACTTTTACTTTTTCCTTACTAATTTGGATGCTTTTATTTCTTTTTCTTGCCTTACTGCTCTGACTAGAATCTCCAGCATAATGTTGAATAAGGGTGGTTATAAAGGGCATCCTTGTCTTGTTCCCATTCTCAAAGGGAATAGTTTCAGAAGCATTGATGCTTTTTAATTCCTTCAGTGCCACTCTAACAAATTACTCTTTTTCCAGTTATTTCAGTCAGGGAAAGTGGACGTAAAAAGCAAGAAGTGATATCCTGCAGGAAGAACATATCCACCATTATGGCAATGGTAAGCTCCTCACATATGAATCCTGGCCATCTATGTAGAGACCTGGGGTTGGAGTAATTTAGAAATTCAGCACAATCGCCTTATTGCAATTAAAGTTTGGTTAAAATGTGTCCCTGAAGTAAGTTTTGGTTTATTTGAATTTAGGGAAGAAACTAGCCTGTTCTCAAAACTACAATCTAAAGTTTTATAAAGAGACAATTGTATAGCATTTCTCATACATATAGTCTTTGAAACATAGTGAAATTTTCAGAATTAATCAGATAGCCCTGCAGTGAAGATGTTGTTAAAGAGTAAATCTCTGTGCTCTCAGAAGAAAAACACAGTATACTTATGTAACTAACATTGGAAAGATTGTAACTTTAGTCCTTCAATGAGTGATTATTCTAGAATTTTTATGTGGAGAAATGTATGAACGAGTATATGTGACTAAACCTTTAACAATCCTTCATGTCCTTCCCAAAGCAGAGATCTCTTACTGAAGAGAATCCCTTTGAATGTAATGATTTGGGAGAAGATTTTACTGACAGCATCACACTGAGTCAACATGTATTAACTCACATGGGAAAGAAACATGATGTCAGCAAAGAATTTGGAAATTCCCTTAGTGAGCAGTCATTTTTTAATCAACATAAGCAAATTCACACTAGAAGTAAACCATATGACTGTCATCTATGTGGGAAAGCCTTTATTCAAAGCTCTGACCTTATACAACACATTAGAACTCACACAGGAGAGAAACCGTATGATTGCCATATGTGTGGGAAAACCTTCAGTACAAGATCTAACCTTAAAAAACACGAGAGAATTCACTCTGGAGAGAAACCGTATGTTTGTCAACTATGTGGGAAAGCCTTTAGTCAGAGTTACGAGCTCAGAAGTCATGAGAAAACACATACTGGAGAGAAACCATTTGAGTGCAATGTATGTGGGAAAGCCTTTATTCAGAGGTCTTGCCTTACACAACACAATAGAACTCACACTGGAGAGAAACCATATGATTGTCATATATGTGGAAAAACCTTCAGTACAAGATCTAATCTTAGAAAACATGAGAGAATTCACACTGGAGAGAAACCGTATATTTGTCAACTATGTGCGAAAGCCTTTAGTCAGAGTTATGAGCTTAGAAGTCATGAGAAAACACACACTGGGGAGAAACCATATGAATGCCAAGTATGTGGGAAAGTCTTCATTCAAAAGTCTTGCCTTACACAACACAATAGAACTCACACTGGGGAGAAACCATATGAATGTCATCTTTGTGGGAAAGCCTTCATGAATTGTTCTAACTTGAGACGACATGAGAGAAGTCACACTGGAGAGAAACCATATGGTTGTCAACTATGTGAGAAAGTCTTTAGTCAGTGTTCTGAACTTAGAGATCATGAGAAAACTCACACTGGAGAGAAACCATTTCAGTGTAATGTATGTGGGAAAACTTTCAGTAGAAGTTCTAACCTGAGACTTCATGAGAGAATTCATACTGGAGAGAAACCGTATGAATGCCGTGTATGTGGGAAAGCCTTCACCAGGAGTTCTAACATGAGACTACATGAGAATTCACACTTGAGAGAAACTGTGTTTGCCAACTTTGTGGAAAGCCTTTAGTCAATATTCTGACCTTAGAAATCATGAGAAAACACAGGAGAGAAACCATGTGAATGCTAAGTATGTCGGAAAGTATTCAAAAGTTTTGCCTTATACAACACAGTAGAACTCACACTGGGGAGAGACCATATGAATGTCATCTGTGTGGGAAAGCCTTCATTAATTGTTCTAACTTGAGATGACATGAGGGAAGTCACAGTGGAGAGAAACCTTATGAATGTTAACTATGTGGGAAAGCATTTAGTGTTCTGAACTTAGAGATCATGAGAAAACTCACACTGGAGAGAAACCATTTCAATGTAATGTAAGTGGGAAAACCTACAGTAGAAGTTCTAACCTGAGACTTCATGAGAGTTTTTATACTGGAGAGAAACCGTATGAATTCCCTATATGTGGGAAAGCCTTCTCTAGGAGCTCGGAGATACAGCTATATGAAAATTCACACTTGACAGAAACCATGTTTGTCAACTATGTGGAAAGTCTCTAGTATTCTGACCTTAGATGAGAAGACACATAGGAGACAAATCATATGAATGACATGTATGTTGGGAAAGCTTTCGTTTTATTGTTTTGACCCTAGACATGCAAGCAATTATATATGTAGTAATTATGGAAGAAACGTCTGCCTTAGTTGTAACATTTAAGCACCCCGGAGGAATCACACATTGAAGGAACACTGTGTATGTAATCAATGTAGAAGTTGTCTTAGTCATCCTTGCTACTTCAACCTAAGCAAATTCATAATGTACAGAATCCATGTGAATATCATATATGCGGCAAATTTAGTCAATGGTCTGACCTTATTTGGCATAAGAAAACTCAATAGAAATTTAATGAATGTGATAGTTTAGTCACTGTTCTTACTATTAAAGTGGAACTCACAAGTGATAAAAATTGTTTTTATTCAATGTGGAAATGTGTTATTTATATTGATCCTTTAAACAAAGTAAATAAATGCCACAGCAGATAAATTCAAGGTCTGTAAATCACTGTGCATATTACTTAGCCATGCACCAGCCTTGGTGTGCACAAGAAAACTCATTATAGGAGTAATGACTTTTTAGGGATTGAGGTATTTCCCTTAAAAGATATGTTGAAGTCCTGATTTCTGTACCTGTGAATGTGACTTTGTTTGAAATGTTTTTCTTTTGTTATCAGTTAATGAGCTTATACCAGAGTAGGGTGTGTCCTAATCGCTTCTAAGTGGTGCCTTATAAAAGGGAAGAACGGACATGGAGAGTCTCACCAGAAGAAGATAGAAGCCATGTGAAGATACATCTACAAGCCAAAGAATGCCACTACAAAACACCAGAACGTGGAGGAGACAAGGAAAGATCTTTTATAGCAGAGAAAGCATGTTCTTCCAAAGCCCTAAATTTGGAGTTCTAGCCTCCAGAACCACAAGAAAATTATTTTCTATTGTTTAAAGTCACCCACTTTGTGGTATTTTGTTACAGCTGCTCTAGGAATCTAAGATACCACCAAAACATGAAGAGAAGTTTTTACTAGGAGGACAAAGCCTTTTAAGGAATACCAGAGAATTCATGGTGAAGTTTTCAGTGAAAAATCATAGAAGTCATTTTATTCAGAGAGCAACATTTTAGAACATGTGAAGTTTCACACTGAATGAAACACAGTGCTGAAAGAAAGGTTTCAATGATCACTCAATCCTAAAAAAAGCAATAAAAACCATTGTCATCGATTCAGTTCTGACTCATAACGACCCTATAGGACAGAGTAGAACTTTCATTCTCACACCAAGTAGAAAATCCAAAAATCAAAGTGGAAGGGGGAAAAAAAAAAAAGAAAACTTTACATGGATTTCACATCAGAAAACTCATACTGGAAAGTAAAATCTAAAAGAAACCTTAAGAACAAAATTTAGCAAAGGATTCAAGTTTTTGACAAAACACATATTGAAAGTGTGTAATATAATGATGTGGGATTGTGAAGTGATTCGGGCATATCAGATGCAGAATTTTGTAAGAAGTATTGTGAAAAGATATTAAACTCAATAGATTAGTACTTGCATATGTGGAAACAGTAGAAGTTGTTGGTGAAAAATCCGTTGGTCAAATTCCAGGTTTCTATGCAGTCAAAACGCATAGATTTGGGTTAATGAAAATGCTTTTACCTCAAATTGATACATTTAGAATACAAAGTCGTATTTCTTAACTTGTAGAGCTATATGCACGTAAGTGAAAGCAAATGCTGATAAAAACACACTTTATAAGTAAATACAGATTCTACATAAATTCTGCTTTTAAAAATCCATTTAATGTCTTCAAAGTTTAAAAAGGAATTACAAAAGAGTAATTTTTTTTAAGTCTTGGATGATTGGAGGTACATTGGCAAGAAAATTTCTCAGGATGAGTACATGGAAGAACAGTAAAGATGTGGGCAGGGTCCCATTTTCAGAATGCCTTATGCGTTAAAACCTGCGAAAGCTGGAACCTGTGTAAGGCGGAAACCTTTCAGAGAAGGAAAACTTGCTGGATGTTTATGAGGTATGATTCTTAATAGAGAGCGATAGAAAAGTGGTAAGATTGCACTCTGTCAACGATGGAAAATTTTGAGACCTAGAAAAACAGGGCAGTCCCATTAAGTTCCAGCTTTTAGTGTATATTTATATTAATGTATGTAGTCACAAATCACTACCCCTCCTAGCAGCATGCAGAACATTGCTTGTCAAAACAGAGGAGAAAGAACCCATGAGAATTTGACTTTGTTTATATTTCTCAGAAAAGAGTGAGTTTGCAAATCACCAACCAAGAGTGACTCCCAGTCCTTTCCATACACATGCAGAAGTCTCGGAGAGAAAATCATGGAGCTCTCACCTTTTCCAAGATGACCAGAGATGTCCTGTTACTTGTTACTAATTTGGAAGTGATTAATATCCCTGTTTTGCACATGGGAATACAATCTAGATGGTTATAACTAATTTAACCCATTTTACTGAGGGATTATGCAGTGCCTGCCTCCATCCCCAACTTTATTTTTGAGCTTTTGTTTGTAATGTTTTATACTGATGGATCTTTATGTTCATTAATCTTGCCTTCTATGTGTAAAGTCTGTTAAACTTATCCTTTAAGTTCTCCCATGGACCATAGTTTGCCAAACCTTGTGCAACAGCACTTCATCTATTAATACATTTCTTATAGTTTCCTCTATTTTATGTAAACAGTTTATAATAATTTTAAATCTTTTTTCTTCTAAGTCCAGTCTCAAGATATGTGTGGCTCTGTTTGTTGTATCTCCTTTTTCTCTTTATTATTCATAATATTCCCTGCTGTTCTAAATACCCATTGCCGTTGAGTCAATTGTGACTTATAGTGACTCTATAGGACAGAGTAGAGCTGTCCCGTAGGGTTTCCAAGGAGCAGCTGATGAATTCGAACTGCCAACCTTTTGGTTAGCAGCTGAGCTCTTAACCACCATGCCACCAGGGCTATTTTGCATATATTCTACTTTCTGTATGATAAATAGATCAAGAAGAGACTGAAGCTGATCTTTTCCCCTAGAGAGGTTGGATATTCTCTCTGAGGAAGATAGAGGAAGGAATCGTCACTTATTTTCAATCAAGAATTGAACTGTACTCTGGCTGGGTTGCAGTTTTGATTACAATCAGTCTAACCATCTTGCCTTTAAGATCAGTCTTTTGGATTTATTTCAGGCATGTTTCTGTAGTTGGACAGTGTCATGGATTGAATTGTGTCCCCCAAAAGTATCTGTCAACTTGGCTAGGTCATGATTCCCAGTATTGTATGATTGTGTAATCTGATGTGATTTCCTTATGTGTTGTAAACTCTGTCACTATGATGAGGTTATACTGATGAGGTATACAAGATTGGATAGTGTCTTAATCCCATTTCTTTTGAGATATAAAAGAAGTGAACAGAGACACATGAGAACCTCATACCAACAAGAATGCAGTGCCAGGAGCAGAGCGCATCGTTTGGACCTGAGTTTCCTGCGCAGAGAAGCTCCCAGACCAAGGGAAGATTAATGGCATGGACCTTCCTCCAGAGCCAACAGAGAAAGCATTCCCTTGGAGCTGACACCCTGAATTTGGACTTTTAGCCTACTGGACTGTGAGAGAATAAATTTCTCTTTGTTAAAGCCATCCACTTGTGGTATTTCTGTAATAGCAGCACTACATGACTAAGACAGACATTGTCTCTCAAAATCTACAAGATTGCCAGAAATATTACACTGCCTTTCTTTTCTAGCTTCCAGCTGGGGGAAAGCATCCTTGTATTTAGGGATTCTCTAAATTTCAGCCTCCACACACTCAATCCACATGCTTGTTTTAATTCCCTATTAGTGTCTTTCTGCCTGTTTCCCCAGATAAATATCTGATGATCTATCTTCTCCTAATAATGGCTCTTCACTTTCTGGAATCTTAGTGCATGTAGTTTTCTCTGATATTTAAAGCTACACTGTTTTTCTCTGATATGGAATGATTTTTCCTTTTAATTTATTGCAAATATTGCAGAGAATAATCTACAAAGAAGGTTTTAACGATATTCTTTATTTTTCCCATCCTCCATAAACTTTTTCAGATGTAAGGGAGAATTTAAGGGATTTAATTTAATGGAAAGGATCTTTCTGCATTTACATTTGAATTATTTTCTTTCTGAAAAAGAAACTTTTAAAAAGTGGGAAAATACATAAAACATAGGCCATTTTATCAACTTTTACATGTACAATTTCATGACATTAATTCCCCATGTTGTGTAACCGTTGCCACTATCCATTTCCAAAGTTTTTTAACACCTTTAAGTTGGTGCAAATGGTTAATGCACTCAGTTGCTAACTGAAAGGTTGGAGATTCACATCCACTCAGAGGCTTCTCAGAAGAAAGGACTAGTGATCTACTTTTGAAAAATTAGCCATTGAAAATCCAGTGGAATACAGGTCTACTCTGACACACATGGAGTCACCATAAATCAGACTGACTTGACAGCAAATAATAACTTCTAATAAACTCAGTGCCCCTTAAGCAATAACTCCCATGTCCTCCATGCCTCTGGTTGCACTAATAAACTTTGGTCTCTGTATTTGCTTTTTCTAGATAATTCATGTAAGTAGGATCATAAAGTATGTCTCCTTTTGTATCATATTTAACTCAGCATGATGTTTTCAAGGTTCATTGATGTGGTAGCATTTATCAGAACATCATTTCTCTTTATGGTTGAATGTACCACATTTTGTTTATCCATTTATCTGTTGATGGGTATTTGGATTGTTTCCACCTTTTGGCTATTGTTAATAGTGCTGCAATGAACATTGGTGTATCAGTATTATAACATACACTTTAAAATGAATGTTTTTTAGTTGTCTTGCCTCTACACCTATTTGAAATCGCAAGACCCCAATATTCTGCTTGCAAAAATGTCAGTCTATTTCTCCTCAGCCTAGAAAGGCTACCTCTTTCTTGGACTTTATATTCTCACCTTACAAGTTTTCAGATGCCACAGGAGAAAAGTCAGTGTAAATGTGGCACACACATCATTGTACTTTCCTTAAATATTGTACTTAAAGCAAATCTTGTCTATACTGGTTGCATTTCAGTGCCTTAAAACTGTTAGGGTTAATGTTATGTATCAACTCGGCTAAGCTGTGATTCTCTGGTTTGGCTGACATTGAACTGATTGTTCTATAATGTAATAAAAAGTAATCACCTCCATGATGAGATATGCTATGAGCAGCAAATCAGTAGAAAAGGAAGTTTCCTTCAGTGCATGACCTGCCTCCAGTATATAAATGGATGTTCCAGCAAGTCTCTCTGTCCCTCTGGATCGTGCATCATCATCTGACCTCCGGTTCTTGGGACGTGAGCCAGCATCCTGCTGCCTTACCTGCCAGTTTGGGTTCCTCAGCTCCTGCAACCATGTAAGTCAAGAGAAGCCTCCAGCCTGACAGCTGACCCATGGATTTTGGGACTTGCCAGCCTCCAAAACTGTGAACCATTTCCTTGAATTAAATCTCTATATATACTTACATATATACACTTCATTGGTTTTGTTCCTCTAGAGAATCCAGCCTAAGACACTTATGACAATTTTATTCAGATTTTATTGTCACTCTTGGTAGACCTGTCCAATAAAAAACTACTCAGTGATGGTCTTAGTTATCTAGTACTGCTATAACAGAAATACCACAAGTGGGAGGCTTTAACAAAAGTTTATTCCCTAACAGCCTAGTAGGCTACAAGTCCGAATTCAGGGTGCCAGCTCCAGGGGAAGGCTTTGTCAGCTCTGGAGGAACATCTTTTTCATCAATCATCTGGTGTAGGAGCTTCTCAGCACAGGGATTTGGGGTCCAAAAGACTTTACTCCTGGCATACTTTCTTGGTGTTATGAGGTCCCCGTCTCTCTGCTCGCTTCTGTTTTCTATCTCAAAAGAAATTGATGTAAGACACAACCTAACCTTGTAGCTTGAGTCCTGCCTCATTAACATAACTGCCTCTAATCCTGCCTCATTAACATCATTGAGGTAGGATTTACAACACAGGAAAATCACATTAGATGACAAAATAGTGGACAGTCACATTACTGGGAATCATGGCCTAGCCAAGTTGATATAATTTGGGGGGACACAATTCAACCTATTACATGGTCATTGTAGAAACAGTCTGTTAGTGGTGCAAATGGATTATGTAATTGATAGCGAAAGCAGACAGGAGTTGCTTGGTCATTGTCAAGCAAGACCTGCTCCAGTCCATTAGCAAAGTGGTGGTGATGGGTGTGGCTCAACTGGGAGTTGCTCAGACCAAGTGGAATATATCCCTCCTGTCCATTGTCCTGATAGCGCTGGGTATGGCTCAAGCCAGTCAAATCCAGTTTACTAGTCTACATACCAAGGAAAAAGCAATTTGTCTTACGGAACCTGTGTGCCATGATAACCCATGTGGTCCATAGTATTTGTATGTACTTGTGACAGTACAAGAGGTTCTGCCTCCCTTTTTTCGGGGAGATTGATTTGAGGTGCACCACCTTGCTGTTTGCCTGCGTACTTGCAGTAAATGTTCTTCCTCACCTCAGTGTGTCGTTACTGACCTGAAGCCGCACTGAGCAGGACCTGCTTTGGATAACAAATTATGGTGACCCTAGATGACACCAGTGCTGCCAGACTCCTGAGATTGTCTCTGGCCGACAGGAACTGACCACTTCTCCCATGTGAACACCGTAATCTTTGGGGGATATTCATTTTGGCCCTCAAGGGTGGCAGGCTACATGAGGAGAGAGAACGGTGTCAGGTGCCCCCAGAAGATGGCAAAAACCCCCTTGGTGAGTACAGAAATAAGTCCTATTGTTCGGAGAGTGGATAGACCATAAATCCTGGATGGTTACTTTGGTTGCTGTTACCGATAATGGCGACGGGGAGGTTATGCTGCAGCTGAGGGGAGAAAAGCTCCACCTGGAGTGGCCTAGGGCAAAAGCCAGGCTAGATAAACAGATGATTGCTAGAGGGCCAGGGTCTTCTGATTCCGTCCAGCTAGAAGCTCAAGGCACACACATGCTTATAAATGGGAAGATAGTCAAGTGGAGAAGACTAAACTGGAATGTGTTTAAAGGATTATGCATTTATCTGAATGAACTCTGGATAGTGTTTCTCCTACCTTGTATAGTAAGGCAGACATAAATGTATGGTAGAAATGAATATTGGGTATTATAGATTAGAGAGTGTGTAACTCCACCTTCAGCGAATACTTAATATGCTAAAAGGGGAACTAAGATTTTTGTTTTAAGCCAGTAGCCCTGTGTGTAGAGTAGAAGCTTAGGTAGAAAACCTGAGCCTCACCCAGATTTTGCATTTGAAAAGACATGCAGAGCCACCCAGAACTGAGAATGGAAGATTTGCATTTGAAGGAAGAAATTACAGGAAAAAAAAGTGGCTGTTTTGCTTTTTGAATTTCCAGCAAGTGATTTGCTGTTGGATGCATCGAGGCAGGAATAGTCGGTGTCCTTCAGAAAGAGTCCCCTTCCAGAACTGGAAGTTAAAGGGAGCCGTTGAGCAGACAGCTTGTTCTGCTCCTTTGTGATGACCATCTGTGTCCATTAATGAGTGGAAGAGGGAGAAGTGCAGCAATGAAGAGACAGCTGAGTTTGAACATGTTCCATTGGCACCCGTTAATCCAGCCCATGGGAGCTAGGGAAAAACCAATGTGTCTGGTGTAAACAAGAAGGGCATTGGACGAAAGTATGCCCTGTTGTAGGGGAAACATCACAGAGTTGAGTAAAGCAAAAAAAAAAGTTTTATTCGGCATATATTCAAAAAGGCCAAAGTGGAAAATGGACAACCATGCTGCCAGAGTTCAAGGAAATATCACAGAAGAGACAAAAGTGGGGAAAATGGACAAGCATGTTGCTAGAGCCATGTCTGTCCAAGTCCAAAGAATATTACAGAATGGGCAAGAATGAGAAAATGGACAAGGATGCTGCCATAGCCATGTCTGCCTGAGTCCAAAAGACCATTACAGAATCATCAGTATAAAGATTACAAATGGGCAAAGCCACTGAAAGGTTAGCCTTTTCAGATTGGCTAGAAACTGTGATCCTACATTTTGAATTGTCTTTCTTAACAATCGTTGGTACAAGTTTCAGTAACGACAGTCAGGAGGGTCTTCACTGGTCCAACAAATTTCTCTTCACTAAATGCTAATAGAAAAGGGTAGAAAGTCTTTTGTGTTTTGTTTGATTGGTTTAATGTGAAAGTTTCCCTAAAAGGTATTTTCCAAGATTATCTTAGCTATTGTCTTTATACCTCAGGCCCAGTTGATGTGTCCTTGTGAGTCCTTGTGAGCCCAGCT